CAGAAGGAGAGGAAGAGGACGGGGAGGAGGAGGAAGAGAGAGAGAAGAGGGAGGGAAAAAATATAATAAAATAAATATACTAAAATATTGAAAACTGGTATATCTGGAAGGAGAACCCATAGGAGTTCTCTGCACTACTCTTGCAACTTTTGTGTAAATCTAAATTTACAACAACTTTTTAAAAAGTGTAATAAAGTTTGTGTTTAAATAACAGATATAACCTTGGCTATATAAAACAGAAACACATAGTTATTCTATCACGGCAAGTGAAGAAAAATCCACAAAGGGACATTACAAATTTATCACTCGCCAAATGTTTCAGGATCACACTTTTGTTGCTATAAATACAAAGTCTCTACTAATGACAGGTTACAGAACTATGTAAAAACTCATAACTCATCCTAAGGGGTAAAACATCAGGTGAGATTTCTGAGCCAAGAGTAATTTGGGCAGAAAGCACACAAGTAAGCCAATAAAGCATTCCAACATTAAATCCTGACTTCCTTTGACGTCAGCCCCAGCAGACCAAGGCGAGTGATGACAAAGAGGAGTCAGCACAGGAGGAAATGTGTGCCAGCTGGTGCCCAGCATCTTGGAAGTGCAAATTTAGCAGGTAACATAAAACTCCATAACTCTATCTTAAATGCTGGTATGTAAATCACAATATATCTCTTTTCTTGAGAGTCTGTATGCAGCTTCTCAGAATGTCAAAATAAGTTACAACCAATAATGACTGTTGAATATTATTAAGCCGGCTATAGGTTAAAAAAAATTTTTTTAAACACAGATTGAAAGACAGAGTCTCTTTGCTTGCTTTTTGATGATACTTTTAATTTCAAACTCAACAGGAAACAAGATAATCACAGGTAGCTGAAAGTCAAGACAATTTCAAACCCATAAATGTATGTTACTGATGAACAAAAACCTCAATGCTGATTAAACTGTATTTTCCTACATATTCTATAATTTCCTAATATATTCTGCATACATATATCTCTGAAGTCTGACCTAGAGAGACAGGATTGTGTAGTAGTGTGTTCAAGTATTTTTCCCCTCTGGCCATGCAAATGAAAATAGGAAAATGGTATACTATGTAAAAATTATGTATCAATTACAAAAAAAAAAAAAAAGATAATGACACAAAATTATTTCTTTTACTTACTTTTCAAAGTCTTAAATCTTAGTTTTAAATGTGGAAAGCATATACTTTTTTTTATCAGGACCAGTAACCCCACTGCAGGAATTCTCACTCAAATAAAACCTAAAACTTTGGCATGAGGTCATTAAACTATTCCTAGGGCACCCTTTTACTCTAAAAGCCTCTGTAAGCAATTAAAGTTCTAATCTGAATAATTACATTCCACCTACATAAATTCCCTCTGTAGTTTCAAATATATGCAATATCAGTCTTCATTTCCTGAATTAAATGAATGTCGTGTAATGTGGTGCTTCTTTTTTAAGAAAAGGAAGAACATCTACTTTCATAGGTAACCTTTCAGCAACCAGTAGAAGTGATTCATGTGCATGAGGTGAATAGGTCAGTATGAATAATCATTAACCACCAATTTGTGCCAGCATTTATTGTGTCGAGCATTGCAAAAGGGACAACTCATCTAATGAAATGAATGTAGCTCTACGGCTTTATAAAAACAAAATATTTTATAAACTAAATCCTATTTTCCATTGAATTGTACCAATGCATCATTAGAAACTTTATTTTCATTTGTGGCTTGCCTTTAATTAGCTGATACTTCCCATGTTTGATCACCCTTATCTTTCTAGTCAAACACTTAATGAATTGCAAATTAATATTGAAAATCCTAACCTGAAAAAAGAACCACTGAGTAGTGTTTAATAAGTAAATAAGTATTTCTCATAGAGGGAATCTTAAAAACATGCTGCCTCTAAACACACACCAACAGAATTTTTGAAAGATCGAAAAACAATTTTTACAGCAAAATTGGTTACTCAAAGTGAATTTCCAGTGTTATCATAACAGTATGTATTCAATAAACCCAAAATACTAGTATTACATGTCCCTTTCATGAGATTTAATTTTTCAATCCTTGGCTATTTCTTAAATAATGTTTCTACCAGTTGCTGAGTGACCTTCCAGAGTGGCTTTTCCCAGAGTAAAGAAAAGCAGCTGTGTTCCTTGCAGGATGCTCAGGGACTTCCAGAGATCTCCACACCATGCCAACTATTTCAGTCCTTGAGTCATTAGAGAAATTTAAAGAGAAGAATTTATCCCAATTGTCAAAAATTCTGTTGAACCCCATGATATAAACATGTTTAGTTGATCAAAGCTGTATAGTAGCAAAGATGTCTTGAAATATGTTGAATTAGTTAATCTGTAAATCTCATTATTGTAATTTCTGCTCTTAAATAATTTAAAGTATGATTTACTGGTATCTAGTGAAACTGTAAATTAAATTATCTATTATACCTAGAGTTGGTCTAAATTTCATGAAATATAGACCCGATTGTAAAAACCTGTTTTCCTTTCTTCCTAGAATTCCATTCTACTTTGATTCAGAAAATAGCATTCTCTTTCCTCTAGGAAATGTCACCTATACTCCACCCCCTAATTCCCACAGAACAACGTGATTCAAAGAGATGTTGGCATTTTCTTACAGATCACTTGGCCTAGCCACAGACTTGGGGTGTATACTTGTTCAAAGCTGGACCAATCACGGTTCCCCATCCTGGTGGCCAAAGTTGATCTGTATAGTTGTATAGAAAAGGGCATGTGACCCAAGCTGAATACATCACAGTCCTTCCCCAAGATACTCCAAACTGAAATTAAGGCAGTAGGAGCAACCTCTCTCAGGCGGTGAAGAAACTGGGCATGCGAGCTGCCAGCAGCCATGTACCCTGCTATGCAAAGAAAGCTGGTCTTAGGGAGCTAAGCCAAGATGCAGAGAAGAACTTAGAAAGAAGACGGAGCACTCCGACAGCATTCAGGTCCTGGCTCTAGTTGTCCCTGACAACTGCCTCACTCCTGACTTCCTTGTGTGTATATAATAAGCCTTCCAACAAATTCCCTTTGTACCAAGCTATTTTCCTATTACCAGTAGCCGAGGAAACTATACACAATATACCAAACAAATTCTAACATAATAAATTTGACTTCTTAGGGGTAGGGCCCAGGAATACTGCAAGAAATTCTAATACCTCTGCAAATTCAAATATATCTAATGCAAACCTGGCTTTAGTCCATGAATCGACATTTAGAAATAACATGATTTAACACTTTCTTCACTACCTTCTTCACTGGGGATAAGTCTTGTTCTTTCATAAGACAGTCAGGGTCTTGTAAGCAAGACCTGTATCTCATATTATGCAATGAACCGCTTTAGCTCTCAGCACAAGCCATCAACATAGATGTTCCGTAGGAATATATTGGGCTAAAAATATGAAGACTGGGATATTATGATTGCCACATGATCCTCTGGAATATCATTGGATCCAAAGTAAGGAGATTTTGTGTTCTGGAAAAGTTCTTCTTAGAACAGTGATAGTTGTATAGCAAGACAACAGTAACAAAATTGGGGGAAAAAATCATTCTTAACTGGATTATTTATTACCAAAAGATACATGCTTGTGAATGGATTCAAAGGGATCCTTGGGACCAAAAAGGAATGTGGATGGCTGTGAAGAAGGCAGTTTTAATCTGAAATGAAGAATCTGACTCCAAAGCTCAGCAAAGAATGTCTACATTTTCCTAAGGATTGGGTCTAAGACAAGGCTGCTAGGAATTCAAGATTAAAGAGGCAACAAATATAAAATACATTCTATCTTAAATGTGTTAAAGTGTATTTAAAGCCATATGCCTGTAAATCTCCCTTCCTATGTTTACTGTACCCCTACATTAAGATATTTTTGCATTCAAAGTAAGTGACCAGTTTGCTTTGGGCTGGTGACCCACTATGGAGAGAATCTGAAAGACAAGGGTTGAGAGCAGAATCTTCTGCCCAAGAGAAGGCCCTAACTGTGCTCAAATGATGGAAGTAGAATATAAAGGCAGTCCAGCTTTAAATATGTAGCTTTTCCCAAAGAAGCTAAAGGATTCCCTGACCTTCTGTATCTCACTGACTACCAGAACTCAGGGAGAAGTTCAACACCATAATTATAATAAATAAAGCAAACTAATTCTAACTCCCTAAAGCTGATAACTATGCCCTTAACTAGCTCTAAATAAAACAAAAAGAAAAAAAAAAACTAAGCTGGTTATTCTCTGTATAATTTTGATTTTTTAGAAGGTTATATATTCATTTTAGTTATTTGTTTTATATAACTATTTAGCACAACGCATGAACTTAATACATATTGATAATACAAGAAACCAAACCCCATAACAAAATGCAATTTCTGCCTAACTGCATAAACTTACTAAAACCACTAGGCTCTAGACATCAACTTTAGGACAACATAATTTTCTCCAAGTTATTCCAGAAGACTATTTGCATAAAACTTCTGGAAATCTCCACTCCAAAGTTCTTCCACTGTAAACTGCACTTAATCTTTTCAATTAGCAACATGCTTAAAGAACACAATACAATATCTGGGATCAATGGTCTAGACATTTCTACAAACTGAAATCATATACCTATATAACAACAGAGCAACTGATTGTGACTCGAACCTATCTTGCAACTACACTAATAATTTCACATTAAAAGGATATTCGAATAGAGCCATATTAATAGAAAATAGTGTCATTTAGTATAATTTCTTAAGAATCTCCACTTAAAATTCTCAGAAAAATTTAAACTACAGACCCAGAGAACTGATAGTTACTTTTATTAACCTCTCCTCTGATTATAATATGACTGTTTTAGAAGACCTTAAGAACACATTCAGTAAAGTAAAATTTCATTTCAATGCCTTTTTATAACCTTTCAGTTCCCAGAATAGGAATAATAATTAGCACTCTCATTTCTAGTGCTTGAAAAACAATGAAGTATGTGCTTTGAAGAATTAAGTTATATCATTTTCACCTGCATCGATGCTCCTTCTACTCTTGCCACACAGGCGACCCGATCCAAGAAAGTCACTGCCACAGGCACCGCCACAAAGAAGCCTTTACAAAAGGCCTTGATGTATCTTTTCACCCACCCTTGTGACTGTGCCATACCTAAAAATACAAAGAAAACAACTATGAAATTAGTCTCAAGATAGGTGAAAAACAAAAACATAAAAACAGTACATGAAAAGTAAGAGTTACCAAAGGGCAATCTTGTCTCTTAATATATTTCACACTCATTCCTGTAACCGTCAGAATAAATCTGACTTAGTTAAAGTCCTAAAGCAAAATACATGAACTCAGGTTAATGCTTTTCCATGACTCAAGTCCACTTGCTAACTTCAGTAGAAAATTTCTCCACACAAAACAGTAAGTTAGAAAAAAATAAGCATTCCAGAAGTAAATTCTTTTCTGTTGCTGACTATTATGATGAAGTTACTCCTTATACCCCTGATATCTGTTCTCTTCTACAGCAATAAAAGTTTCAGTGGAACACGTGGCTGCCCAACTGAAGACTATTTCCAGCCTCCCTTGCAGCTAAGTGTGACCATGTCACTAGATTTGATCAACAGCATGAGTAGAAAGGATATACTTCTAGGTTGTACCCTGAAAAGGAGGATGTCCTCCCTTTTCTTCCCCATTTTATAACTGTAACAATTTGGTGGTTGCAGTAGGGGTGGCCATCTCAAACTATGAGATAAAAGCTTCAAGTAAAGATGACAAAGCAACAAAATGGAAGGATCCTAGGTCTGCAACACTATGGAGGCACCATACTGTCCTGCATTGCTTACATTTGGACTGTTAAATCAGAGATAAATCACTTGCACTGTTGGTGGTGGCAGTGTTGGTATTGTTGTTGTTGTTTTTAGACAGGGTCTCACTCTGTCACACAAGCTGGAGTCTTGGCAAGACTTTTTTGGATAAGACTTCAAAAGCACAGGCAACCAAAGCAAAACAGACAATGGGGATTACATCAAGCTAAAAAGTTTCTGTGCAGCAAACAATCAACATAATAAAGAGACAACCTACAGAATGGAAGAAAATATATGCAAACTATACTTCTGACAAGAGGCTAATATCCAAAAATGCATAAGGAACTCGAACAACTCAATAGCAAAAAGACAACTCAATTAAAAAATGGTCAAAAGAGCTTAACAATAATTTCTCAAAAGAAGACATACAAATAGCCAACAGGTATATGAAAAGAATGTGCAGTCATAAGGGAAATGCAAATCAAAACCACATGGATATCATTCCACCCCAGTTAGAATGGCCATTATCAAAAGACAACAAGTGCTGGCAAAGGTGGAGAAAAAGGAACCCTTATATACTCTTTATGGGAATGTAAATTAATATGGCCATTATAGAAAACAGTATGGAGGTTCCTCAAAAAGTTAAAAATAGAACTACCATGTGATTCTGTAATCCTATTCTTAGGAATATATCCAAAGGAACTGAAATCAATATATAGAAGAGATATTTGCACTCTCATGTTTATCACAGCACTATTCATAATAGCCAAGGTATGGAATTAATCTAAGTGTCCATCAATGGATGAATGAACTTTAAGATGTGAGATAACTTTAAGATGTTTCACCATAAAAAAGAATGAAATCCTGCCATCTGATACAACATGGAAAAACCTGGAGGACATTAAGTTAAGTAAAATAATCCAGGCACACAAAGACAATATTGCACAATCACTCATATATAGAATCTAAAAAAGTTAAACTCATAAAAGTAGAAAGTAGAATGGTAGTTACCAGAAGGTGGGGTAGTTAGTGGGGAGGAGAGGTTGGGGAGATGTTGCTCAAAGGAGATATAATTACATTTAGGAGGAATACATTTCAGGACATCTGTTGTATAGTAAGGTGAGTATAGCTAATGATAAGATATTGTATTCCTGAAAAATGTAAACAGAGTGGATGTTACATGCTCTTACCACAAAAATGATAAATATGTTAGATAATGCATTTATTAATTAGCTAGATTTAACCATTCCACAATGTACATGTACTTCAAAACATTGTGTTGTATACCATAAAACTCACAATGTTATCTGTTTACTCAGAAAATAGATAAAAATAAAAATACTCAACCACTAATTCCCTCCCAAATCTTTAATATATCACAGGAAAAAGATGAATGATAATCTAAATTGGCTAATTCTGAATTACCTACTGTAACTGACATCAATAAGGGCTATATGTATGCAAGGTAAGTAATTAAGACCAGTACTCTTGTTTTTTATACTTTTATCAACATATATTGCACATAACATAACATTCACCCAAACCAGTAATCTTTTTATACCTAATCAGAATAAATGTAACTCAGACTAACTTTAGAATATAAGCAATTTAAAAACATGTTTTCATTCAAACTCATCTAACAACTATAATCTTAAGTTAAATTGCTTATGATTTCACACATCTGGTACTCAAGAAATGTGTTTGGCCCAAGGTACTGACTGTTTCTGTGAGCTATCTTAACCACTATACTCCTAAAAGAGTAAACCTGCTTGACATGTTTCATTCATTCATACCCAGCTTTAATGTGAGCCCTTGAGTAAAACTAGTTTCTCTTCAATGACATCTTTTGCCTAGAATCAAAACACCTTTACTAGCTCCTTTTACATATCTCTACAAAAGATTTAATATACTTTTCCAATGGACTATTTTACAAAGGTCCCATTTATCATGTACTATCTGCCTTAATATAGAAGAATAACTTTGACATATTTATCAAATTAGTACCTTCAAGATGCAAAAGATGCATTCTCCTCAATATTAGATTTCATTAGCTCAGTCTCTCTGAAAACACTTCTAACCACAGGTTTAACAACACAAACATCGGTCTTACAATAAATGTATAAATGGAATGACCTCCACATCTATTCTTTTTAATGTTTCCAAAATATAAATAAATATATCCAAAGATTTCAGATTATAAAATATCTGACTCCACAAGTAATTTATAACATGCTCCCATGTACATAGGGAAAAAAAAATAGTTACTATGTAGAATAGAAAGGAAATGGCTCAACAGTAAGTAATCAATTCCTCTTTGACCAGTTTGACAGCTTCAAAGTTATTTTAGGTGGTCTACACTTATGTTTAAGTCACATACAACTCCCAGATAATAATTCCAGGGTAGTGTTTCCCAAGCTTGCCTTGATTGACATGCTTAAAAATGAAGATCCCCACTCTCACTCAGACCACCAAAATAAAACACTTCAAGTGATTCCCTTAGAGCCAGTCTGGAAAATACTGATATTTGGGTGTTTAAAGGTCAGATGTTTACTCACTCCTCAAGTTTATTACCTTCTGAAAATGAGAAAAGGGGAAAAGTTAGCAAAGAAATATCATCCTGAATGTCTCCTTACATTTAGTTTACCTCCGTACTACATTAAGTATCTGCAGAACAAACATTGTACAGAAAATGAACACCACTACCAGATTCTACATTCTAACCTCCACCTGGTTCCATGAGAAAATGACTTCCAGTGGATTGTCTCTTTGTCCCTGCTAAGGCAGTTCAATCATCCATCCACTCATCTACCCACTCACTTACTACTTGGCTTATTCATTCTTTCAACCAGTGTTTACTAAGGGTCTTCCACAAGCACTGTGTTAGGCACCAGGGAACCATAAAACAGTGAGCAAGGCCAGTCCCAGTCCCCTATCTCATCGAGTTTTTACAACCAACTATGGAATGATAAGGGTCAATCTGAAAATCACATAAACATACATAAGAGTTGTAATAAGTGCTATGAGAGAGATACAGAGAGGTCAGGAAAGGTCTTTAAGGAAGAGGCTGAACTCAAAAATGAGGAGGAGTTGTCTAGATAAAGAACTGTGGGGTAGGCAAGGGTATTCCAGAGAGCAGCCATGTCACATGCAAAGTCCCTGTGACAGGAGTGGTCATGTTGTGATGGACAACTGAAGGGAGGCTGGTGTAGATAAAGCACACAGGAAGTGGAAGAGTACAGTGGGACATAAATGGGAGGAGGCAATGTAAATGCCACAGCAGTTAAGACCTCGCAGGCCCTGTAAGGATTTGCAGCAAATGCGAAGTAACTGAAATGTTCTAAAATGGAGGTGAATGATCGTATCTGCGTTTTGAAATAATCATCTATCTGAAAGTCTGGGTAGGACAAAAATGGATATAGGGAAACCAGATTATTCTAGTGGTCCAGGGCAAGAGATGATAGTTGGAGTAGGATGATAGTGGAGACGGACTAAAATGGGCAGATTTAAGTATGTATGTTGGAAGTTGAACTGACAGGAGCTGGAATTAGATGGGCAATGATGGGAGAAGGAAGGAAATAAAGTGTCAAGGGGCTGTGGTAGCCTGTCAAAGCACTGTTATTTTGTCATTCTCTTGAATTACATGTCAAAATATTTCATACTAAAATTATGCTCATAATTCCATTCCTCAAACTTTTTTTTGGCAAACAAGCAGATGTGCTCCCTGCCCTCAAGGAGTTACAATATACCAAGGAAGACTGCCCTTCAACAATTATTTCCAATGGATGAGCATTAAAAAGGGACGATAGCCCTGAAGCACGACAGCATGAAGCAAGGCTGTCTTATCAGAAAATGATCAAGGAAGGCCTGCCCCACTACACCCCCACCCCCGAAAAAATGGCATTTGAGGGAAGACCTGGGCATTTCAGGTAAAAGCAGTAACATATATGAAGGCCTAGGGGCAAAATAAAATGTAGCTGTTTAAGAAACTAAAATAAGTTCAGTTTGGATAGAGTATATACAAAATTTATTACGTGAATTTTTAATTCAGTAAGCATTTATTTACTATCAAGCAACAATGCTAAGTACAGAGGATATAAAGATGGCTAAGCATATAGTATAGTACCATTCAAAAACTTTCAATAAACAATACATTTCTACATACATTTATATGTGCACATAAAAGTATTTTAAATTAATTATTTATATTGTTTTAATTGTTTAATAACCACCCATATATTACTTGTGTAGTTATTAAAGTATACCAAAAGAGGGAAGAAAGCAGCATCAAAATGCTAACAGTGGTTAATTCTGGAGGCTAGGAATAGAGACGATTACTATTTTCTTCTTTGAACTTTAGCT